GTATAGTAAGGGTAAAAGGCACACACCTTTGCAGTGTGTGTCCTAGCAGGTGTGTAGTAAGTGTGAAAGGCATACACCTAGGCTGTATGTGTCCTATCGCAGGTGTATAGTAAGGGTAAAAAGCACACACTGAGGTCGTGTGTGGCATGCAGCAGGTGTTCAGGTAAAGCCACTGTCACCAGATCATGCCAGGTCTCAAGTGAGGGGGTGGGCCAGTGTCCTGGCCGCAGCTCGGGAGCTGCTGAGGGAGGAAGAGCATGGGGCTCAGAGCACCTGCGGGACCAGACACCCCTGAACTGCCTCCAGAAGGTGTCTGCCAGGCCATCTAAGAGAAGGTGTGTGTGGCGGTCACCGTGTAGACCATCGGCGCTGGTCTGTGCAGGCTGCTCCGTTGCTGCCGGGGAAAAGCTCCATGGAGAAAGGGACACGCTCGTCACAGGCGCAGTGGGCGGGTGTTTTTCCCACTCGCCGCCGAGTCCTGTGTGGGGTGTTTGCTGCTGCCTGGAAGGAGGGCCCGTAGTCTCAGAATTCCCCCGGGTCTCCGGCTGTTTTATTAAAGGTGACGATTTGGGGGTACTCTGCCTCTACCGCTGACGGAGTAAGGATGTACTTCACGATGGTGTTTCTGGAGGACAGTTTGGCCAGAGGCGTCAAAACTTTCCAAACGTTTGACCTAGCAGTTCCACCTATAAGGAAATAATTAGGATGTGAATAGAGATTTGGTTAGGCCATAGTTTTTCATATGAGCTAAAAATTAAAATTCCACCACCAATCAGTATTTGATGGACATCGTTTTACGCGTATCTTTAAGCAAGTATAGGAGTCCCTGGGTGCTGAAAATGATTACGCGCTTGGCTGCTAACTGAGAGGCTGGTGATTGGAGTCCACCTAGAGGCACCTAGGAAGAAAAGCCTGTCAGTCTACTTCCAAAAAGTCAGCTATTGAAAATCCTATGGAGCACAGTCCTACTCTGACACTTGGGCTTGTCATGAGTCAGAATCAACTCCACAGCAAGTGGTTTGGTTTTGGTTTTAAGCAAGTATATGTGAAGAGAAATTTTAGAAAAGTTGGATTATATCCTAACATTCTTAATCGATCAGTGTTAATTTTGCTTTGATGTAAGAAAAATACCAAACCTGTTGCCATCGAGTCAGTTCCGACTCACAGCAACCCATAGGACAGTAGAACTGCCCTAACGGGTTTCCGAGGAGCGGCTGATGGATTCGAACTGCTGACCTTCTGGTTAGCAGGTGAATGCTTAACCACTGCACCACCAGGGCCCTGTAGTATAAGAAAAGTTAAAGCTAAAGGGACTAGTGAACTTCTTAAAAAGTCTTGTCATTGTTTCAACTTTAGGTTCTGTTGACTCTGTGCTATAAAAGAAACGTGAACTTGTGTAATTAAAAAAGAAAAGCTTTAAAAAGTAAATGCCATTGTTCGTTTTACCATTTAAACAGTGACAGTCCCTCAATTCGTTTTCATTTTCAAAACACTTGAGTTTAATATTTCAAAACTTTTGCTTTCAGAGTTCATTCCCTGCATTTTTAGCTCGGGCATAAAGGAAGATAGGATTTCTACCATCAATCTCTTGTTGTCCACGCTGAAAACAAAGGTACATGTTTGGTAATCATCACTTTCTGTCTTTATTTTTCTCCTTGAGAAGGACGAGGTGATCATCACAGTTTTCAGGACTCTGGGACTGTAATATCTTCCGTTACACCTTCTCTCTGTTCGTCACATTGGTTGCAGCCTTCAGATTGACCAGGAAACTGTTCCTTAAGCTGGAGCTTGTTTGTGATGATGAGCCAATTCTGGGGCTAGAAGGTGCAGAATTGCTAGAACAGTCATGTAGGTCAGGCTGCTGTGTTACACAGCAGGAAATGAGCTGCTGGCCAGCGTCTCACAGAAAACCGGTACGGTAATTGTGGGCTGTGAATTACAGATGCTGCTTTTATACATCGAGCAAAATGTTCTGTGTCGTGTTGCCTATTCTGCCTTTTCTGAGCATTTTATAGGGATTTGAAAACTTACCGAGAGGATCCCTGTCTTTCATACAAAAGCACTTTAAACGTCAACTAGAAAAACTCTGTGGCCTCCCAACATGAAATCCGAAAGGCCGTCAACTAGCAGTGCCCATAAAAATGAGAATGTTTAACTTCAGTGGTATGAAGGCGATGGTTCTCACCCGGGGCCGATTTTGCTTCCCATGGAACATTTGACAGTGCCTGGAGACCGTGATGTTTGTCTCAGCTGGAAGGTGCAGCTGCATCTAGTGGGTAGAGACCCGGGAAGCTGCTCACCATCCTGTGGTGTCTAGGGTAGTCTCCCAGGACAAAGCATTCTCTGGCCCCAAACTCAGTACTGTCAAGAAACCCTGGTTTAAAGTGATGTAAATGATGACCTACAGGATTTTACCTGCCAAATAAGCATTGCCTTTTTTAAATGACGCTATTCAGTGCCACCAAAGAGGCTTTGAAAGCAGGTACTTTCCTCTGGGAAGTGTTACGACCCCTCTGGAAGACAGCACTTCTGGAAGTGTGTGTGTTGGACGTCGTCATGTGTTCACAGACCCTTACGTGTGTTTGTTCCTAATGTGGGAGCGTGTTTTAGAAATATACACACCAGGGCTACGTCCCCCAAGGTTCTGGGGGAGTGGGTTTGGGTGTCCCTTGGAACAATTCTACTCCTGAGAACCCGTGCCAAGTCCTAGGAATGCAGGTGAAGACTCCAGAACAAGGATGCTGGCTGTAGCTTGGTGAGTGAGAGCTGGAGTTAGGATAGAACCTAACTGTAAGCACAGGAGAATGGTTAAATTATGATTTCACTCAGGACGGAATGACATTCAGTCCTCAAACGATATTCTAAAGGAATTGTTAATGATGTAGAAAAAGTTTGCAGTACTTTAGTAAAAGCGGGCGCAAGACCGTATATAATCTTAATGATGTAAGGAAAAAAGGATATATTACCCAGCTGCAGAGAGACAGAGGCTGAAAGGAAGTAGACCAAAATGGTAACCGTGGGTGTGCTCGCATGGTGGGAAGATGGGTGAGTGGTGTTGCTTCATGTTGTTCTATTTCATTTGCCAAATTTTCTGTCAATCACAGGCATTACTTTTATAGTGAGAAAAACAGTAAACTCTCCTCAAAAAATGATCGGAGGCCTTGAACTTTGTTTGTTTTGTTGTTTTCAGGTGGTTCACAATAAAAATATCACAAAAACACAGAAGGTGCGTTTCTTCACCGGACAGTTACTGAACCAGATAGCATCTCTCTACGCCTGGAAGGGAATCACAGACGTGGACACGGACGGCGTCAAGGTGCGCTCTTGTTTTCAGACGACCACGTTGTTGGTGTGGTTGCCCAGCTGGAGAACGAAGAATCTAACACTATACCTGCCTTAAAAACCCTGCCGTTTGACCTCTTCCTTTTGGCTTGTGGTCATGTTAATTCTCACTAGATGCAGTAAGATTTTTTAATTTGATTTTTTTTATTATTCTAACTGTTTTTACCCTCTAATGCCCCAGTGGTGCCGCGGTTAAGAGCTACGGCTGCTAATCAAAAGGTCAGCAGTTCAAATCCCCCAGCCACTCCTTGGAAACCCTATGGGACAGTTCTGCTCCGTCCTGTAGGGTTGCTATGAGTTGGAATGCAACAGGTTTGATTTTTTTAACGGGACAGACTATTATTCCCTTTGGCTGAGTGATGTCTGAGTTTTCCCTGCAAAGCTTGCCCAGTGGATTTACAGAGTTAATCCAGGTTCTGTCTCCCCTTCTTATCTTAACTCCTTCTTATCTTTCCTTCCATAAAGGTTACAGTCAGGAAACCCCCATGGGGCTCAGTTTTCTGAAACACACGGGAGTCGCTGTGAGTCAGAATCGACTCCAGGGCAGTGAGTTTGTTTTTTTTTTCCTTCCAGCCTTTCATGAACACTTTCGGAGTTTGACTTTAGAATCCTACCTGCGTAGGGGACCTTATGTTTCCTCGTCTGCTGACGTGTACAGTTGATTTTATAATAATTACTCCAGTGCTGAATTACAGCAGTTACTCCCTAACGTTAACCCAGGGCCACTGTGCGCTTGAATTCCCCTCAAGATGCTTCTGAACATGGACTTGGCCAGGGTGGTGGAGGTGCAGACTTCCTGTTAATTTTATAGTCGTTTCCCTCTCCAGGCCTCGCTACCTTACTCCCTCTTATCTTCGGGACTTGCCCATGTCCTCTTGTTTTGAACATGTTTTTGAATGCTCTGTTACCAGGAAGCCTTAGGGGTGTAATAAAAGTCCTCCCAAATGTGCAATTGCATTTAAAAGAGCAAGAGAAATTAAGTCATTCTTAAGCTTGTTTCACAGTACAGGTTTAAACTTGCCTCTCTTAAGAGTCTTTTATCTTAATCAGTGTTTTTGGTGGCGTTTGTGTTTTGGAATGATACCAAGTGTTCATTTAAAATGTTTTCTTAGTTGTCGTTAAAAACCAGAAACCCAAACTGGTTGCCACTGAGTCGATTCCGACTCATAGCGACCCTCAAGGACAGAGTAGAACTGCCCCGGAGTTGTCATTAGGCATGTGGTGGTGTCCAGTTTTTACACTAGCTGTTACTAAGGTTCATGAGTTTGCGATTTTCATTGAATTTTTCCAAACCCTCACAGGCATCTGCTGAAGAAGCTGGAAAAACCATGGTGAGGGAGCTGGTTCATAACTTCCTGATGGATCTTTGCTGTTCACTCAAGCATGGGATTAATTTTTATGACGCTTCTTTTGGTACCTTCGGAAGGTAACTCATAACACTCTTGTGCACCCTGGGGTGTGTGTTCCTCAGAAAATTGTAGTGGAAATCCTGTTAAGGAATGGAATTGGAGTAGGTTATAACTAGGATTTTAGACATTATTTAACTCATTTGAGGGGTGAGAATTGCGGGCCCAGAGAGCTTGTACTTAAACTGTGTGCCCTCGGGCCAGGGTCTCAGGGCAGCAATCTATTTAGACACATAGATAAGAAGTCTCCCCCAGGAGGCACCACCTTACTTACCTTCGTTCTGCCGATGACGAAGAGGGAAGCAGAGAGGTCCAGTAATGTGCCCTCGTGAGTGGTAACGCTCAGGTTTGAACCCAGGAAATCTGCTTCCAAAGCCCATATTCTAACACTGTAATGGTCTCCCTCACTTCACAGACAGGCTGCCAACAATTTAACCCAAACCAAAACCAAACCTGTTGCCATCAAGTCGATTGTGACTCATAGGAACCCTGTCGGACAGAGTAGGACTGCCCCCATAGGGTATCCAAGGAGTAGCTGATGGATTTGTGCTGCTGACCTTTCGGTTAGCAGCCAAGTGCTTAACCACTGTGCCACCAGGGGCTTCCTGCCAATGAGTTAGAATTTCAAAATCTTGTTTTTATATTTCATTTCGTATTTCACAATTATAATAATATGTCATCACTAAGGAAATAAAGTACACGTTGGATTGTATTCTTTTAGACTCTGTAGTCCTATAACTGTAGTATATATCCGTGTTAGTTTTTTTACAACCAAAATATTAGATCTTCTTTTTCCCAGTTTGACAGTAAAGATGTTGGACAGTATGAACGGCTCGATCTTGTTAGTTACCTCCTTGGCTGCATAGCGTTTCACTCTAAGGCTACAGATAGATTTTACTTCTGGTTTCAACCAGTTAAGAAATGACTTCTTCAGAATGGGCTAGCACAGAGGGAATTTCTGACTTTGGACTTACTTTGATTCTAAGATTTTCATGACTTACCCTGCCCCATCATTTCTTTTTCTTTTTTCTTCATTTTGGTGATAGTGTAGCTTTTCTCTCATCAGTGAGAATGGGCTCATTTTTCTGGTAAAATGTAACAGCAGACTTTTGTAGTCTAATGTAATATAGCATCATGTTTAAAGCACACACACTCCTCTCTTTTTTTTTTTCTTTTTTGCATTTATCTGCATACGTGGATCCATGAAATGGATGATCATTTAGTGAGCATGTTGAATCAGCTTGGGGGTGTGAGTCTATTTGGAATAAGCTGTGGTTCATATACGTTTTGGAAGCCATGGGCAAAAGACAAATGTTTGTGCTTAGGGGAGAAGAAAGGAATTTTGTTTGTGGGGAAGTTAATGGGAAGAAGATGAAGATGTGTGGTCTTCAGAAATGCTGCTTCGTGTCATTCAGGCCTCTACCCAAGGGAGACGTACCTGGCAGCTCTTTCCAGAATAGCGTCTCCACCGTCACTCTCTTTTTGCTTGTCTTAGGCTTCTTGCTGTGGCTTATCACTACCTTCTGTATTTATTCCTCCATCTGATCATTCCCTCCCACCCCAGAGTCAGCGGGAACAGAGGCTGGTCTGTTCTGTTCACTGCTGTGTCCCAGTGCCTAGGATGGTGCCTGGCACGTGACAGGTGCTTGATGAAAGCAGGGCATTATAGCGCAGAGCAGGGACTGGAGATGTGTCCTGTGAAGGGCCAAAAAACAAAAACAAAAAAACCAAACCTGTTGCCGTCTAGTCATTTATCCGACTCATAGCGACCCTATAGGACAGGATAGAACTGCCCCATAGACTTTCCAAGGAGCACCTGGTGGATTCGAACTGGTGACCTTTTGGTTACCAGTTGTAGCTCTTAACCACTACGCCACAGGGCCAGGTGGTAAATATTTTTGAGTTGCAATATTGAAGGATTCTGTGGGCAAAATATTGAACGATGCAGGAAGCATCAAAGGAAGATAGAAGGAATACACAGAGTCACGATACCAAAAAGAATTGGTTGACGTTCAGCCATTTCAGGAGGTAGCATATGATCAGGAACCAATGGTACTGAAGGAAGAAGTCCAAGCTGCACTGAAGGCATTGGTGGAAAACAAGGCTCAAGGTATTGATGAAACACCAGTTGAGATGGGTCAACAAACAGATGCAACGGTGGAAGCTCTCACTTGTCTATGCCAAGAAATTTGGAAGACAGCTACCTGGCCAGCCGACTGGAAGAGATCCATATTTGTGCCCATTGCAAAGAAAGTGATCCAGCAGAATGTGGACTATATTAATATGCCATACACAAGTGTAATTTTGCTGAAGGTAATTCAAAAACAGTTGCAGCAGTACATAGGGAACTGCCAGAAATTCAAGCAGGATTTAGAAGAGGACATGGAATGACAGATACCATTTCTGATGTCAGATGGATCATCGCTGAAAGCAGAGAATATTGTAAAGATGTTTACCTGTGTTTTATTGACTATGCAAAGGCATTTGACTCTGTGGATCATAACAAATTATAGATAACATTGCCAATAACGGGAATTCTAGAACTCTTAATTGTGCTCATGCAGAACTTGTACAAAGACCAAGAGGCAGTCATTTGAGCACAGCAAGGGGATATTGCATGGTTTAAAATCAGGAAAGGTGTGCGTCGGGGTTGTAAACTGTCAACCATACTTACTTCAGTCTGTATGCTGAGCAAATAATCCGAGAAGCTGGACTGTATGAACAAGAACATGACATCAGGGTTGGAGGAAGTCTCATTAACAACCTGTGATATGCAGATGATAACCACCTTGCTTGCTGAAAGTGGAGAGGACTTGAAGACTTAGTGATGAAGAACAAAGACCACAGCCTTCAATATGAGTTACACCTCAACATAAAGAAAAGAAAAATTCTCACAATTAGACCGATAAGCAACATCATGATGAACGGAGAAAAGATCGAAGTTACCAAGGATTTCATTTTACTTGGATCCACAATCAACACCCATGGAAGCAGCAGTCAAGAAATCAAACGACACGTTGCATTGGGCAAATCTGCTGCAAAAGACCTCTTTAAGGTGTTGCAAGAAAAGATGTCACTTTGATGACTGAGGTGCACCTGACCCAAGCCATAGTATTTTCGGTCACCTCATATGCATGTGAAAGCTGGCCAGTGAATAAAGAGGACCAAAGAAGTATTGATGCCTTTGAATTATGGTGCCGGTTAAGCATATTGAATATACCATGGACTGCCAAAAGAATGAACAAATCTGTCTTGGAAGAAGTACAACCAGAATGCTCCTTAGAAGCAAGGATGGCAAGAGTTCATTGCACGTACTTTGGACATGTTACCAGGAGGGACCAGTCCCTGGAAAAGGACATCGTGCTTGGTAAAGTGGAGGGTCAGCAAAAAAGAGGAAGACCTTCAACGAGATGGATTGACACAGCGGCTGCATTGATGGGCTCAAGCATAGCAACAATTGTGAGGATGGCACAGGACCGGGCAGTGTTTCGGTCTGTTTTACATGGGGTCACTGTGAGTTGGAACCGACTTGACAGCACCTAACAACAGTAAATATTGTATAAGGCTTTGTGTTCCATTCAGTCTCTGTTGTGACTAAACCGTGCCCCCATAGCACAAAAGCAGCTGTAGACATAAATGTGTGGGGAAGTCCACTAGAGCTCAGATTTGCCCCATTGCCTCGTTACTGCTGTGTGTACTGAGGGTGAGTCCGGGGAGCTGTAGGTATCATCGTAACGATCTCCTAGCATGTCTTGAGAACTCCCTGGCCACCTCGCTCTCTTTGGTACTGTCAGAAGGTAACGGCTAACACTCTCGTGTGCTCTAGGCTGTATGTTTTTGTGTTTATTTGTTGTTTGTGTTTTAGGGTGATACCAGGTGTTAATTCTCTTCTCTCTCTCCTTCTCTAACAGAGGTGGAAACCTGACCCTCCTGCACTTCTTGTTGGGTCTGAAGACAGCTGCAGACGACGAGCTGGTGGCGGACCTTGTGGTGAACATCCTTAAAGTATGCCCAGACTTACTGAACAGATATTTCAAGGAAGTGACGTTTTCCTTCCTCCCGAGGGTGAAGTCAGCTTGGTTAAATAATATCAGACTACTAAACAAGGTAAAAAACACGGATATGTAACTGTGAGATAGGGTAGGGGGTAGAGGGTTAGGGGCTGAGGGAGAGAGGAAGTGACGTTTTGGCCTGTTAAACTGTACACCATGACCACTTCTGGCCGTTCTTTGAGTGCCTATCTTGGATAAATTTGGTGCCCTTTTTCCCTGGGTCTAGCATTCTGCTTTTCAGTCAGCTGAGCTCAGAGGTTTATGCATTTTGAGTCTGTTGAACCAATTTCATCTTCTTCATCCAGACAGATTTGCCAACAGTGAAATCTTAAGTCTCAGCTCCCTCAGGTCAGAATTGGTGAAATGTCTCAGTTGTAGGATAGCTTTTAAAGATTGCTGTTTCCAGTAATTTGCACAACTTGAAACCAGCCGGGAGGTGTTGGTCTGAACGCCAGTCCTGAGCGGGTTTGTTTACGTGGATACGCCTTCATTTCCTTCCGATCACAGGTGTAAACACCCCTCACCTACCAACAGAAATACAGAAATTCTTCAGCAGTAGTGCTTGGCTCAGAGCCCTGGTGGTGCAGTGGTTAAGAGCTCAGGCTACTGACCAAAAGATCGGCAGTTCAAATCCACCAGCTGCTCCTTGGAAACCCTGTAAGGTAGTTCTACTCTATTCTGTAGGGTCGCTAGGAGTCAGAATCCACTCGATGGCAGTTGAGTTTTTTTTATGGGTTAATGTTTGGCCCATAAGCTTTCTCTCTCCCCAACTTATGGAAGCCTAGTGGTGAAATGGATCCCTGGTAGCACAGTGTTTAAACACTCAGCTGCTTACCAATAGGTGAACTATTCAAACCTACCAGCTGCTTGCTTCATGGGAGAAAGATGTGGCAGTCTGCTTCCATAAAGGTTACAGCCTTGGAAACCCTGTGGGGCAGTTCTGCTCTGTCCTGTAGGGTCGCTGCGTGTGGGAATCGACTCGATGGCAACAGGTTTATTGCTGGAGTACCTGGAGTTGTTTTCTTGTAAATCTCTGCCTGGGGTTATCTGTAAGACAAGCTTCTGTTCACGTATTCACTGAATTCTTCTTGAGGACCTGCTGCGTGCAGTTCCCACATACATTTGGGGATGAGAAGGAGGCACTTGTCATTTTGCTGAAGGTAGACTGCAGCTGGTACCCCTCTTAGGAGCTGCCGGTCGCATGGGGCCGAGTGTGTGATCTTTGCAGGCCTGCGTTCAAGTCCTCACTCAGCTGTTTACTAGCTGTGTGGCCCTAGGGAACTTATGTAACCTCGCTGAGGTTTAGTTTTGTCGCCTGTGAATGTTTTTAATTATTAATGGAAAATATCCCAACCCCAGAGAGTTGTTATGAAGCTTTTAAAAAGTGACCTAATGTGCCAGGTGCCTGTCAAGTGCAGTACCTGATAGGTGATACTCCCGTTAGTCATTTATTCGCCATCCTGGGTTTTGAAAGGCTTCCCGGGCTGCAGGCCATGGTCAGCTGTGATGGTCACTGGTCCCTTAGTGGCTGGGCTGTGACCTGGCATGTCTGTAACGAGTGGATTTTGTGGCTGATCTTCTGGACCTTCTTCCTTGTGGCAGGTGCAGACTTATTACTGTAACTGTTTCATTGACTTGTGTGTCGGTGTCTAAAATTTGCCTCTGGCGCCAACTAATTATCGTTTCTTCTTCCCATAGATCTATGAGGCCCAGCCGGAGATTTCCCGGGCATTTCAGACCAGAGAGTTTATCCCCTTGCCTCGGCTCCTCCCGATGGTGATGGTGACCACCGTGCCACTGGTCTGCAATAAGATCATGTTCACCCAGGCATTGAATGTGAGGTCACATGCTTACCCCGCTTCTAGAACCTTCTCCCGCTAAACCCACTGGCTGTGCTGTGTGGTTATTCTGAGAGTGCTGGCCTGGGTGTATTTGATCACGTGATCTCAGCGAGCCTCTGCGGCTCCCGGGGCAGGGACTTGAGTTTAAATAGCTCCGCAAGGAACCGTGTCCACTTACCTGGGCCTCTGCAGCTCCCGGGACAGGGACCTGAGTTTAAACAGCTCCACAAGGAACCGTGTCCACTCACCTGAGGCTCCGGGGACAGTGACCTGAGTTTAAATAGCTCCATGAGTAACCATGGCCACTCACCTGAGCCTCTGTGGCTCCCCGGACAGGGACCTGAGTTTAAATAGCTCCACAAGGAACCATGTCCACTCACCTGAGCCTCTGCGGCTCCCGGGACAGGGACCTGAGTTCAAATAGCTCCATGAGTAACCATGGCCACTCACCTGAGCCTCTGTGGCTCCCCGGACAGGGACCTGAGTTTAAATAGCTCTGTGAGTAACCATGACCACTCACCTGAGGCTCCGGGGATAGGGATCTTAGTTTAAATAGCTCCACAAGGAACCGTGTCCACTCACCTGAGCCTCTGCGGCTCCCGGGACAGGGACCTGAGTTTAAATAGCTCCATGAGTAACCATGGCCACTCACCTGAGGCTGCAGGGATAGGGATCTTAGTTTAAATAGCTCCATAAGGAAGCATGTCCACTCATGTGGGCCTCTGCAGCTCCTGGGACAGGGGCCTGACTTTAAATAGCTCCCTGAGTAACCATGTTCACTCACTGGGTAAAGATCTGGGGCTGGAGGCCCGTTCCTCCCAGAGGGGGGCTGACTTTGCGTTGTCCCTGCTCCAGCATGGAGCCCAGGCGTGTGGGTCCCTGCGAAGCTCTGGTCCTGTCTGCCAGTCCCAGTTATGTGGACTTGACTCTTAACTCCTGGAGGCTCCACGTGCATCAGACTGGAGCTGTGCTCTACAGGATTTTCAATGGCTGATTTTTCAGAAGTAGAAAAATCAGGACTCTGGGTGAACTGGAACCTCCAGCCTTTTGGTTAGCAGCCGAGCGCGTTAACCATATGCAGCCCCCAGGGACTTAGGTGTGTCTACGGGTGGGAGAATGAATCCAAGGAAAGCGAGTGGGTTCAGTCACAGCCCAGTGTCATTTATTAAATCTTCTTTGTTTAGAATTTCTGCATAAGGTAGGGCTGAAGCGGGCCTAGCAGACAGTCCTCTGTGGGTGAAGTGGACAGCGTTAAGGCTGTTTCTGGGGAATGTTCCTCTGAGGACCGGCTGTTCTCAGGCATTTTTGAAGGCTGCGAAAAGTTTTGAGTTTCATGTAATTGCTTATTTATTGTAAGGGTCCCTGAGACCCCTCAGAAGCCACATTCTGAGGGGACTGTGGGCTCAGGTGAGTGGCTGTGGGCTGTTGGCACGCCTGGGTCTTGGGCCCTGCCACCTCCCTCCCCCCAGCCCAGGTTGCCTTAAGACCTGCGTGAGGGAGGCTAGGTACTCAGTGGTGCAGGACCTGGGCTGCTCCAGGGCAGCTGGAGCCTCTGTCCTCATGTCCCCTAACCTTGCTGGCCTTCCTAGACAGGCTGGGTTGTTGTGTGAACATCAGTATGATGGGACCTGACCAGGGCCTACCAAGGGTGGGTTGTCCAGGCAGGAGCTGGCCCCTGTGGCGATGGGTGACAGTTACTGGAAAGGGGTGTACCGTGTTGCTGTCGAGTCGATTCCAACTCATAGCAACCTCATAGGACGGAGTAGAACTGCCTCTTGGGGTTTCCAGGGAGTGTGGTGGGTTCCACCTGCCGACCTTTTGGTCAGCAGCCAGTGTTTTTCTCCTCCTGGTGAGTGTAGGTCCAGGGTGTTATGAGAAGCCGTATCTGTGGCTCCTTTTCACATGTGCCCTTTACGAGAGCTGTGATGGGGTTTTTATGTGATGCCCAGTGATTCACATGTATCTTGGGGGCGAGGTTGTGAGTGTGGTGTTTTGTTTTTTTTTTATTTTTGAACACTTTTCTTTTATTCCTTATAGTATTGTCTGAAAACATTTTATAATAGCGTATATTTTTGAAAAGGAAAGAGCTATCTATGTTTACTTTAGAAACGGGAAATAAGGTGCTTGGAGGCAGGGTCTCAGGCTGCTGGTTGAGCTTTTTGCTCCAAGCCCTTTGGGTGTACATGTGAACACTTTTTTGGTGCCCCGTCTTCGAAGTGATTGTGAGGTCGGGGTCGTTATTGCTTTAGGATATTTAATGTGGTATTGCTGCAGCGAACGATACATCCATGAAGTGAAACCACAGCTGGTTGGAATGCGAGGGGAGTGCGGTGCTGTGGTTGTTAAACTAAATGTAAACCAGAAAAGCTTTCTGTTTCTACCTCGTAATAAAATTAAACAGCTTAGCTAGCGCTCCTCAAACTTGAGTGAGAATGACTGGAAGCCCTGTCAGAATGCGCATTCTGATTCAGGAGGTGGGGTGGGGCCTGGAGTCTGCATTTCTCACAGGCTCCTTGGACCACACGGTGAGGGCCTTGACTCTTCTCCTGGGGGATTATTTGAGGCTGTGTGTCAGCTGAGCCGGAGGTGATTTTTTTATACTAAAGCACCTGGTACATTTTCTTGTCATCTCACCACCTGAAAGTAAAGCGCGTGTCTTAATCATCTAGTGCTGTTATAACAAATAACCGCAAGCGTGTGGCTTTAACAAAGAGAAATTTATTCTCTCACAGTCTGGGAGGCTACAAGTCCAAATTCAGGGTGCCAGCTCCAGGGGGAGGCTTTCTCTCTCTGTCGGCTCTGGGGGAAGGTCCTTGTCATCAGTCTTCCCCAGTTGAGGAGCTTCTCAGCGCAGGAACCCTGGGTCCAAAGGATGTGCTATTCTGCCTCTTGTTTCTTGGTGGTATGAGGTCTGCCATCTCTCTGCTCGCTTTTCTTTTTTATTATTTCAGAAGAGATTGGTTTAAGACACAACCTAATGTTGTAGATTGAGTCCTGCCTCATTAATGTAACCACCTCTCATCCTGTTTCATTAATGTCGTAGAGGTAGAATCTACAACACTTAGGAAAATCACATCAGTTGACAGAAGAGTAGATTCACACAGTACTGGGAATCATGGCCTAGCCCCGTTGACAGATATTTTGGGGGGACACAATTCAGTCTGTTACAGCACTGTTAACAGTGGCTGGTTAGGTTCTGAGTCGGAATCGACTCATGGCTGCGTGTTTTTTTGGGTTAGGTTCTGGTGAGGCCTTGTGCTGTTGATGCAGATAATCCATCTTAGCTGAGTGGTTGTCAGAGAGGCTTACTCAGCACTGGCGGAAACAAAAACACCACCAGTGTCCAACAGCCACTTGCCTGGCAACGGCTAAAGTCAGACCTGGAGGGCATCTCCCCTGAGATGGAAAACCAGCCATCTCCTGTGGCTTCATAGGACTGACCCGAGCCAGCTGCGCCCGGGCTGTGTCTACCGGCATTCCCTGAAGACATTGTAGATTTAACTCTTTTTCTTTTCAGTTGGACAGCAAATTGGTGAAGCACACAGCTTTATCCCTTATTTCCGTCATTTTGAAGAGAGCATTAAAGAATATCGACCACTGCCTGAATAAAGAGGTGTGGCAGGAATCAGGTGTCTACACTCCTGAGATGACAGAGGAGTTTGTGCCGCTCTTCAGGGAAGCCCTGAGCAAGGTAGGCATGGAGACCAGGCAGCATGCCTCTCCAGAGAGGGTTCCAGGGCTTTCCTTCAGGTCTCACCAATGAGGACACCTGTTCAGGAGTGCGGAGGGTGGGTGCCAAGGAGGGTGTCCCCAAAGCCACAGGATTGGAAAGGCTGGTGGGTAATGCTGCATGGGTGATGAAGATCAGCTAACAAACATACCACTTATGGTTACAGGCAGTGATATCACTCTTGAAACAGGACCAGAAAGTCCTCTGGCAAAATAAAAACATAGAGGATATACTTGTTCTCTCATAGAGTCAGAATGGGGGGCTCTGGTACTCCTGGGACCTCCTGTCTCACCAGGTACTGTTGGTATGTCCCTCCCTGCAGCCCCCACCCCTTGCACCCCCACTGCCCACACACACGAGCTTTACCAGGGCAAGAAGGAAGAGGGCCAGTCTTCTGCAAGCTGGCCGGCTGCTCTGGAAGTTTTCCCTGAGCGTGTTATGTTGTTGTGTGCCATCCAAGCGATAGCAACCCTGTAGGACAGAGTACAGTTGCCCCGTAGGGTTACCAAGGCTGTAATCTTTACGGAAGCAGACTGCCACATTTCTCCCGCGGAGCAATTGGTGGGTTTGAACCACCAACCTTTTGGTTAGCAGCTGAGCACTTAACCACTGCGCCACCAGAGCTCCTTAATGGATCATAGGGAAATGTTTCTTTGTTCCAAGTATCTTTGCTCAGGTGAACAAGTCTTAGGGCGTTTGTTTTAAATTTCAGCGTTCGTTTTTCACCAAATTCTTACTGTGTACGGTTGTAAAACCAAACAGCAAAGAGCCTACAAAGGATGTGGGCTTGTTCTCCCCCCACCCTCCCATCTCTTTCTTACACACACATACTCTCTCCCTCCACACGCACACATACACGCACAGATACCCAAACTTTCTCACACACTCACAGACTTTCTCACACTTTTTACACACACACAGATTTACTCACACATTTTCTGTCCCTCCACACACATATGCGCACTCACAGATACATAAACTTTCTTACACGCTTTTTTTATATACACATACCCATACAGACTCTCATACTCACATTGTCTCCGTCACACACTCACGTGCACTTTTTCACACAAATTTTTTACAGACACTTTTCACATAAACTTTTTACACACAGACACTCATACAGACTTCCTCACACACTCCCACATTCTGTCACTCACGCACAAACTTTCTTGCACAAACTTCCTCACACATGCTCTCTCATACAGACTCTCACACACACTCTCACTCACACAGACTTTCTCACGCAAAGTCATGCTCACTCATACAGACTTTCTCACACACTCTCACTCACAGACTTTCTCACACAAACTCATATGCTCACTCACAGACTTTCTCACGCAGTCATGCTCACTCATACAGACTTTCTCACACACTCTCACTCAGAC